CCCCAAAACCCCAAAACCCCAAAACCCCAGAAGGAGACTAATTATTGAATTAGAATTAGACTCATTTTTAGAAAAAATATGCTCAGAAAATAAGGATGGCAAGGAAAAGTATAGTTTTATTACAAAATGTTTTAAACGAGAACCCATATTCATCAGCATAAGTTTCCTATTTTTCTAAGTTCTTTGTTTGTACTTAGGACTTCACTATTTAAACTTCTCTAAGACTATTTCAAATTCTGTGTCAGAAATAAAATTTCTAGGTTAATCATTCGTCTTAAAATATTTAGGAATCTAATGTTACATAAGCTATTGCAATTACCCTTCTCTATAACTTCTCTTGTACTGTTCAACTCAGTCTGACTAAAGTAAATGTTCATCAATACTTTATGACTGTTGATCTTCTAAATTTATGATTAAAATTTGTAGTATCTCCTTTCAGGGCTTCTGTAAATTCTTGAGACTATTATTAGCACGTTTCTAGAGAGGTAAAATCCATAGCAAGTGCTTATTGATCTTTGATATGATATGGTGCTAGACATTTTGAATCCATGTTGAATCTAAATCTACTAACAGTTGGACATTGTTCAAGAAAATACCACATTCAGCGTTATCCGTTGACTTAATCATGAATAATGAAAAATGCTTCAACTTTATTTTCTTCATAAATATTAAACTCCAATTTTAAATAATTATTTTATTGAGAAAATAGTAGCTGCTCAAAAAGATGAGTTTGTAAATAAAATTTAACATCAGAATGAGCAAAAAAACAGCTCAGAAATCAGGGTTAACTGCAGAACCAAAACTCAGAACAAGAAGAGATCATTAAAAGATAAGGCTTCAGTCTTTGTTGGGAAGGAAAGATCAGATCTATCAGCGGAGCATGGATCTAGAGAGAGAAAGCCCAAGAGTTCATCAGGCATGTTACTTACGAGATTTAGGCTAGAGTCAGAATACTTATTGCTTTCTGACTTGATTCTGACATAAGCTGAACAAGAGAAATTCTATAAGTTTACTCTCTAATTTCAGAATTCAAGGTAGTGAAAAGCAAACTCACAGATTCTCTATTCATGGAATTCTCCTTATGACCAGAGCCACTGAAGCTTAACATTCATAAGAATAATTACCAGTTAAGAAGTAGTGAATGAGATTCTTTGAAATTAGTCAAAGAAATCTCCTGAATCAAGTCTATGCAGACTCCCTGTAATCGGTACTAGTCCTTAAGTCAGACATTTATGGATTTTATAGCACTGGTGATCATATTGTAAGAGTCAGATTAAGCTTACCAAAGGACTTTCTGAATATTCGTTGACAAGGAGACGAGTAGTTGTGAAATCAGATAAAAATAGAGTAGAAAATCAAAAGACTTTGAATGTCAAGATAAAGAAGCACAGAATTATGCTAAAAATTATCGGAGAATTCACGTACTTCGCATCAGTTCTTAGTTAGGATGCTTGAGAGGCTTTTGGTCAGAAATCCTTCAAACAGAGCCCTGAGATCATGAGTAACAGGAAGAAGGTTAGCTCTATGTAGAAATCGTAGTAAGTAATACGAGACTTGTGAGTCTAACATGTTTGAGATTAGTAAGTAATCTCTATTAAGGAATAAAATGTAACTTTAAACGTATCAATATTTCCAAGAAAGGATACTCAAAGCTTTCATAGTCGATACACCCTTCATCAGGTAAAGCAGCATCCTTTCCTTCTCACTTAGCCATGAGAGACGAACTTTGATTAATAATGTGTCCATTCAATATGACAATGAAGTAGCAAATGCAAGGGAAGCTGGATAGTTAGACACAGAAGCTCAATTATCTGAGGGAAAGAGTATATACAAGACATTAATATATTTGGATGGTGCTATCTCTTATTGCTCAAACCAAAACTGGAATTAGATAAAGAACGAAAATATTTTGAAGAATCCTGGTCCTTTGAAAGAGATAATCAAGTCTACCAATACCTCTATTCTTGCATGAATGTTCAGGCTTAAAGACCATAGATCAAATTATTATCCTGATGATAAAACTTCTACCATGGGATCAAAAATATTAACTGAAACAGTTTTATCCCAATTTTTAAATCGAAAAGAATATTATTCCTATTTTAAATTTGATTAACCTGGAAATTTAAAATAGAACTTGGATAGCTGGATTTTTCGGACTGATCAATCAATAAGCTATCAGGAACATCTACTTCTCTGACTGCTTCAGGAGCGGACTCCATCGAAGCCTGCAGGATTAAGGTAGATACGCACATTCATCTTTAGGCAAGCCTTCAGCTTCTGACATTATGGTCAAGATTTTTCTATTACTACTGAGTTTTTTGATGTTCCAAGCAGTTTACAGATTTCCACAGTATGAAAGGAACCAAAAACTTTGGTGGATTCTTAATTATGAATTAAAATCTTAATAAAGCATTGTAAAGGCAAATTTAGCAAGACCCAGTTTAGTTCAGGATAAAATGCTAAGGATGTGGGTGCATGTGACAGTACCCTAAACTTCAGTCAATACAAATTTTGGCAAAATTATCTGCTGAGCATCTACTAGTTATGGAACCTTAAATCTGTTTCAATTTGGAATCCTTGTAGGTATATACTTGAGGAGCCAAAGATACAGGAGTATTGCAATCATATTTGCCATAAAAATTTCGTGAGTCATCTCAAGAAGTTTGGCAAAAAGCCACTTGTCTTCATATTAAGCCATTTAGATTGTCTTTGTGAGGAAAATAGGTATGAAGATTTTAAATCGTTTTCTCAACCTTCTCAAACTCAAATGGGGTTTTGGGGTTTTGGGGTTTTGGGGTTTTGGGGTTTTGGGG